CCACTGAGCAAAGCTGACCAGGGTCTTTTATTTTTTTATGGTTCCATGTACTTTTTTTTTTTTAATCCTCACCCAAGGATACTTTTTCATTGACTTTCATATAGAGTGGGATGGGGGGAGGGAGGGAGGTGGAGAAAGAAGGTGGGGGGAAGAGAGAAACCTGGATGCAAAAGAGACTCATTGATTGGTTGCCTTCTGCATGACCCCAACCAGGGTCAGGATCAAACTGCAACTGAGGTACATGCCCTTGACCAGAATGAAATTTGTGATTCTTTGGTCCACGGGCCAACATTCTAACCACTGAGCAAAATTGACCAGGGCGCCATGTTCTTTTTTATGCTGTTGAAGTTCTCACTAAGTTCCCTGAGCATCCTTACAACCATTGTTTTAAACTCTGTATCTGGTTGTTTGCTTGACTCCACTTCATTTAGTTCTTTTTCTGTCGATTTCTCCTGTTCTTTCATTTGGATCTATTTCTTTGTCTTTTCATTTTGTGTGGCTTCCCTGTATTTGTTTCTACGTATTAGGTAGAGCTGCTACATTTCCCAGGCGTCTTATAGGGCCCAGTGACACAGCCTCCCCAGTCACCTGAACTGGGTGCTCCAGGTGTGATGCCTGTGTGGGCTGTATGCACTGTTCTGTTGTAGTTGCTTCTTGATTGCTGTTGGCATGTCACTGGGAGGCTGCAAGGACCAGCTGAGACTATAGCAGGGGAGCTGCTGTAAGGAGTCAACCCCACAGAGCAAGACTTGCTTCAGTAGGGCTCTGGTGCCTGCTGAGTCCATCCCTTGAGTGTGTCACTTGTAGAGGTGTTGAGTTGTAATCCAGCAAGGTCTTAAGCTGTCCCCTGGGTGCCCTGGCTCTGGGGCCTCCTGGTAGGTGCTAGGTCAGTTACCACCTGTGCCCTGCCTGGGGCCACCTGGCATGAGCTACAGAGCGATCTGCAAATGGTTGCTACTTGTGCCCTCAGCTGTAAAACTTCTTCAAGGCATTGCTCTTGAGTTACCTTCTCTGTGAGTTATCCTCCCCACCTAGAAAGGGTCCTTCACTTCCTTCCTAGTGCCACCTCAGCTAGTACTCTCACTCTGGTTGTTGATGAGTCTCTCTCCGCTGTGAAACTGGGGACAAAGCTGGGGTCTTCCCTGCATTCTGGACTCCACATGGTATCTGCCCACACTGCTGGTGCCTCACTGTGTGTGCTACAATCCTGGGAGATGGTGTGTGTAAACCCACCAGAATTGCCTTCCCTCGGGCACAGCATGTGCTCACAGAACTTTCTGTCATTGGAAAGTGAGACCCCACCACCACCACCACCACACAAACAGAAGGCTCTTAGCCCCATAATGAGTGGCCAAGGCCAAGAGGACCTAGGGAATGATTAGCCCACCATGCTGCATCTGCAGGAGTGGGGACGCAGGGGCTCTTGGCAGAGACCCTTGAGGAGTGAGTGAGTGGCTGGAAGGTGGCCAAGTACAGCCCGCATGAGAAGGAACTGGGTTAAGGGGAGAATTACTTGGCCACCCCTCCGCGTGAGAGCACCCAGGACACACCTGTCAGGCCCTCCAACGCAAATCCTCTGTGTGGTTCTCCCAGGCCTGGCCCTGTGCCCACTGCCAGCAGCTGCCACCCTCCCTCACTTGGCAGCCTTTGGTCCTCTCCTGAGGACAGCTGCAACACACTAATGGGTGGACAGTGGTTCATCACAGGCCTCACAGCTCTGCTTCCTAACAATACCTTCAAATTGCTGGAATCTCCCCAGGAGTCAGCAGCAGAGAGTGGCCCCATGGCATCTGGTTGTCCCTGATCTGAGTTACAAGCAAACAACTAGTGCTTCCAGCTGACCAGTTGAGCAGGGACTTTCTTCAAGACCCCCTCCATTCTCTCTGAGGTCTCCTGATTCAGCTCAACACTGTGGCCCATGCCCAGGACCCTTGTCGCCCCTCTGCAGAGCCTTCTGGGCAGCCTACAGGCAAACCAGACAGCAAGACAATAAACCAAACAAGCAGAGTAAATGCCTAAAGAAGAACACAAAGCACACTTTTATTTTTGCCAACTCACTGTAGAAAATTATATGTATAAAATAAAATTTGTGGCTGTGCCTGAGCACTTGACGGCAGTTTCCTTGTAGTAAAGTCAGTGATTTCATCTGTTTCCACAAGGAACCCTTGTCACAAACCATGAGGACAAATAGAGAGTGAGGGCTGTTAATAAAATGAGCACTCAGGGATCCTGGGCATGGCTATCAGCAGAGAGATGCCGGATGAGTGACTTGTGATAGGTGCATGGAGAGTGCCACCAAGAAATTTGAAGACAGCATCATCCTTTGCTATACACACGATGGATTTTATTTGATCTTGAATGTGAACTCCCTAGGGTGAGAGGGTCTTTGAACTTTGTCTTTGGTCCCTGGTGCAAAATGGACACTTAAGTGCTTGAGAATAAATTCCGTACATTTTGCATTTCTCAGCATGCTCAGAGTCAGATGTCTCAGTCTTGATAAAGGCAGAAACCTTTACTAAATAATCTGATGGGGGAGCAAGAGTCCAGCAGAAGCTGTTGCCTCCACTTTTAGATCATCCTCCCCACCAGGTGATGAAGTCATGGGAAAACTGCCCTAGCTGTGGCAGGTCAGACAATTGTACAGCAGCTAAGGAGAGCATATCTTTTTGATTATTAAAATGTTACCATTTAAAAAACAACCAAGTAGTTAGACCATATTCACGATAAACTTTTTAACATCGTTTCCCACCAAAGTTTAATAACTTCACATTATTAAAAATGATATAAATATAATTTTACATGATTGCATAATATTCCATCCTGTGGATGTATTCATTCATTTAACAACCATTTATTTTATTCCTACTATGTACTAGGCAATTTTCAAGCACTGGGTATATCAGAAATTACAAATACACCTTCTGTTGAATGTTTAGGTTGTTCATAATTTCTCACTATTAAACTAACACCATAATAAACATCTTTATATATAAGAATGCTTTGTGTATTTCAAGTTATTTTCTTAGGAGAGATTCTTAGAAGTTGAATTACTGGGCCAAACAGTAACAATATTTTTAAGATTCCTGACATGTACCAAATGCCTTCCCAAAAGTTACACCAGTTTGTACTTTCTTTTTATTTATTTATTTCTTTATTTTTCTTATATATTTTTTTGGTACGTGCCCCTAGCAGGAACCAAACCCGGGACTCTCTGGTCCGTAGGCCAACACTCCAACCACTGAGCCAAACCAGCCAGTGCTGTACTTTCTTTATCAGAAGAGTGCCTATTGGCACATCCTGACATTATTCAGTTTTGTCACTAGAAAAAAATGTATAAATATCTTATTAGATTAATTTGCATTTTTACTTACTAGTTTTTCTTATTATTTATGAAAATTTTCTTCCTTTGTGAGGCGTCTATTCATATCCAGTTGTTTATTGCAGTCTGTGCTTACTTAGAGATTTGTATAAGTTCTCTAAATAGAGTAAGATATACTCTATCACTTTTTGAAACATTATCTCTTTTTTACATAATGTCCATGATTTTTATCCTTTTGTTCATTTTAATTTTTTAATAAAGGTAATAAAAATCATACATAAATATAGTTTAAAAAGCAAATGGTAACACTACCAAGAAAGTGAAAAGATAACCAATAAAATGGGAGAAAACATTTGTTAATTATATATTTGATTAGAGTCTAGTATCCAGAATACATAAAGAACTCTTACAACTCAGCAACACAAAGAAAAGCAATCCAATTAAACAATAGGAAGGACACAAATAAACATTTATCTAAAGAAAACATACAATGGCTGCCCTGGCTGGTTTGGCTCAGCAGTTAGAACGTCGGCCCGTGGACCAAAGAGTTGCGGGTTTGATTCTGGTCAAGGGCAGGTACTTCAGTTCTGCCTGAAGTACCTGTTCTGGTCAGGCAGAAGGCAACCAGTCGATCTCTCTCTCTCTCTCTCTCTCTCTCTCTCTACACCCCCCTTCCTCCCACTCTATCTGATGATAAAAAAAATATACTCAGGAGAGAATTAAAAAAAAAAAAAGAAAATATACAATGGCTAATAAGCACACGAAAAGATAGTCAACATCATTAGTTATTAGCGAAATGCAAATCAAAAGTGATGAGATACCACTTCATACCCACTAGAATTATATATATATATATTTTGTTTGTTTGTTTGTTTAATGAAGAAGTTGAATGTTTTATTATAATTATTATTATTATTATTATTATTTTTTATCCTCACCCGAGGACATTTTCCCATTTTTTTGTTCAGGTAGAGTGGGAGGGAGAGAGAGGAACAGAGAGAGAGAGAGAGAGAAACATCAACGTGAAAGGAACACATCGAGTGGCTGCCACCCGCACGACCGACCAGAGCCGGGGACAAACTGCAACCGAGGTAGCGCCCTTAGCGGGAACCGAACCCGGGTCTCTCAGGACCACAGGTTGACGCTCTAACCTCTGAGCCAAACTGGCCAGGGCTGAATGTTTTATTATTAAATTTTCTTGTTTTCCTGCAAGGCTGCTGCTTCAATGTATAAAAATAGCACCAGCAAACTCAGTATATTGCTCAATTAAGACAGTATTGTTCGTCATCTGACACCGTAACAACTAACAAAAACTTTTCTCTAATGCCCGTTATTTCCAATGGAAAGATCATTAAGTATTTTGATCCAAATCCAGAGACTGATGTAAGCAAGTTACAACATTATATAAGGCTTAAAATAATATTATCCTTGAAATACATAATTTTCTTAACTAGTTTCACCACAGATAATTTCAGGAATTCTGAATATTATAACTGTAGCCTAGCCTAAAAAAAAAAATCATAGGGTGTTGTGAAAAAGACGCATATTATGTTTATCTGCCATCATTAGAAAGTTAAGGGTTATTTTCATCCAATAGCATTGTTATCCACCACTAATTTAAGACAACTATGCTAGATTAAGTTGTTTCATACTACTTTATTTAGGGGGGCGGGTTCCAGTGTCACTCTTCTGAAGGGTTACTCAATGTCATCTTGATCAGCCAACCATCTTCATAACAAGATCTGTCGACAAGTCCTGGATTTTCTGCAAGAGCTTCATTAATTTCAGTTACTTCTCCTGACAGAGGAGAATACAGTTCACTAGCAGCTTTCACACCTTCCAAAGCACCAAAGTCATCTTGTTTGTTCAGTTTTGTCCCAATTTCAGGCAGACTACGGTAAACAACATCTCCCAAAGCTTCCTGTGCAAAATTGCTGATTCCCACTGTTCCAATACCATTTTCTGTTGTTATCCATTCATGTTTTTCTGTGAATTTACGCTGGAGGGGTCACGGCACAACTCCAAGGCCACCCCGGCCAGCTGAGCTAATATATATTTTTTTAATCCTTACCCAAGGACATGCTTAGAGAGAGGAAGGAGGGCAGAAAGACAGACAGACAGACAGACATCTATGTGAGAGAGAAATAACGATCAGTTACTTTCTGTATGTGCCCCAACTGGGAATTGAACCCTCAACCTAGGTATATGCCTTGACCAGGAATCCAACTGGCAACCTTTTGGTGCACAGGACAATACTCAACCAACGGAGCCATTTTGTCTGGGCTAGAATAATAATTTTAAAAAACAAAACAAAACAGAAAATAACAGGTGTTGGCAAGGAAGTGGAGGGATTGGAATACTTGTACATTGCTGGTGGGCATGTCAAATGGTACTGCCACAGTGGAAAACAGTTAGGTAATTCCTCAGAAAGTTACCATATGACTCAGAAATTCCATTCCTAAGTATATATCCAAATAAACTAAAAACAGGTATTCCAACAAATACTTGAACATTAATGTATTCTCAACAGCCAAAAAGTAGAAATAACCCAAATGACCCTCTATTATTGAATGGTTAAACAAAGGTGGTATTATCCATGCAGTGGACTATTACTCAGCCATAAAAAGGAATGAAGCACTAATTCATGCTACAATATGGATGAACATTGAAAACATCATGCTAAGTGAAAGAAGCCAACACAAAAGGTCACACATTGTGATTCCATTTGTAGAGAACTTCTAGAATAAATCCATAGAAAAGCAATTCCTGGTTACCAGGAACTGGGGGTTTGGAGAGGGAAACACAGGAATGGGGAGTGACTGATTAATAGGTATGTGGTTTCCTTTGGTGGGGGAATGAAAATGTCTTGGAACTAGACAGAGGTTGTGGTCGCACAACATTGTGAATGTACTAAATGCCACTGAATTGTACTTTAAAATGGTTAATGGTTAATTTTATGTTATATGAATTTTACCTCAATAAAAAAAAATTAAGTGGTAAGGACAGCTTCTTCTTCTTTTTTTTTTTTTTAACTTTTTTTTCTTTATTGATTTTAGAGAGAGAAAGGGAGAGGGAGAGAGAGATAGAAACATCGATGAGAGAGAACATTGATAGGTCGCCTCCTGCATGCCCCCCACTGGTGATCGGGCCCACAGCCTGGGCATGTGCCCTGACTGGGAATTGAACCGGCAATCTCTTGATGCAGGGGTCAATGCTCAACCACTGAGCCACACCGGCTGGGGGAGACAGCTTCTAATAGGCAACTAGCAGCCATTTGTTTCCCCTTCTATTCTCCCAATTCTACTTCCCAAAGGTAGTTTTGCTTTTTGCCTCTTTCCCCTTCTAGTGGGTACCAATAAATTCAGTACTTCTAAGTAATTTACTTACCCTGCTATTTCTTTATTTACCAATTTTAAATATTCCTAATGACTTCCTATTATGACAGATATGTAATTCCCTTAGATATCCAACCACCCTTCCTTCCTCATCTTCTCAATATGATTATACAAATATTTCAGTTAGGTAAACTGTGTTTAAATGATAACTATATAAATGCCATTCAGCACACAGCCAAGTGGAAAACTACGATTACATTTTCCATTCTTCAATTTTGTATGTTTCTTAGAGTTAGTAATTCCTTTGTTATTTTACTTGCACAATTTTCTACATACATGTTCTGAACTTTTCCCAAATATTCTACTGAGTAAGATATCCTGTGGGGTATCTTGTTTCCAGAAGGCACTCCTCGCTCACCTATACTGAATCCACTTTTCCAGAACTGCATGCTCTCTTCTTTCCTTGCTGAAGTGCATCCTCCAGTAAAAAAGATTCACAGAACTAATTTTTCTTTTTGCATCCTAGATTATCTGAAAATACTTTCTTTATGCCTTCACACTTTATTAGTCATTCATATTAGTAAGAAATAATAGAATGAAAATCCTTGTCCCCTGGAATACTGAAGGTATGTACAACTAGCATCTAGTGTTGGCTCTTGAGAAGTCCGGTACCATCCAATACTCTTTCCTTTGCCTGACGTCTGTTCTTCCTCTCCAGAAGCTTGTAGAATCCCCTCATTAACCCTGGTGTTCTTAAACTTCACAGTGCTGTACCTTGGGGTGTCTTTTCTTATTTATTATACTGGGCACTGGTGGTCAGAAGATGTGTTCTCTGTACAATTTCTTTGATTTCCTTACTTCTGGTGCCTCTATTTCTTTCTGGAACTCTAAACATTTTGACTTGAACCTTCTGAATTGATTCTCCAGGTCTCTTATCTGTTCCCTGTACTTTTTCAACTCGTCCTTTTGCTACTTTGTGAAAAATTTTCTTGACTTTATCTTCTATGACTTTGTTTTCTAATGAAATTTGAGCTCACTGCCCTCTTGAACTCTAAAAGAAAGCTATTTGGAAGTCTCCGAAGTTTCCTTCTGAATTTACATTGTCTTTGCTTCTTAGATTGCTTTTTCCCGATTTTTATGCTAGTTCTTTTGTTTATGCAGAGGGCTGCCTTTCCCCTCTGCAAAGCTCTAAAAAGTTAACTGGAGGTTCTGTGTGAAAGCTCTAGTGGTGGAACTCATCAACTGGCAGATTTTGTTTTAGGGAAGGGGTGGGGAGCCAGCCTTCTCACTGTGCCTCCCAATCAGGGTGTGGAGGGTTCTGTTCTGAGGCCTTAGGTTTCTCCAGAGCAGCATCTTCTGATGGCCCACCTGGAAGGTAAATGTACTTGGCTCATCGGTATAGAGTGAAAGTTCCAGACTAACTCCCTTATTATCAGTTCTGTGGTACCCCATCCTCTGCCACATAGAATTTCTGAGTTAGGAAGTTAATCTAGGTCAGTTTCTCTAATCTGGTCCACAGCTGCAGAATAAATGTCTGGCTGCTGAAATGCAGAAGGGGTGGGGGTCCATTTCTTACAGACAGATATACCCTCCATCTGACTTCAGTCCTGCTTCCCTTTGCCCCACCCCCACCAACATGTCTCCAAATTCAAGCCCATCTGGGCCCAGCAGGCATATTTGCTCTCCTCTTGTCAGCATCTCTTGGATTCTTTCCAAATGTGTTGAACTACATCCTTTAATAATGATTCATCTCCCATTCTTTGTCCTTGTAGGTCTTTATCATTATTTCTTTACTATTGTTCTAGCAAACCTAGGAAGATGAAGGTGTACATATAGCCAATGTGTTACTTTAGCTGAATTCCTTTTGTGTGCTTTGACATATGAAACCTGTTAAGGGTTGAATTCTGCCCTCCAGAAAGACATGTTTAAGTCTCAAATCCTGGTACCTCAGAATGTAAACTTATTTGGAAATAGAGCTGTTGCAGATGTAATTATTAGTTAAATGGTAACTAACTAACTAGTTAAACGGAGTAGACACACACGGAGAACCCTGTATGAAGATGAAGTCAGAGGTTGCACTGATGTGCCCACAAGCCAAGGAAAACCAAGATTGCAAGCAGACACCGGAAGCTAAAAGAGGCAAGGAAGGAGTCTTTCCTGAAGGTTTGAGACAGAGCATGGCCCTGCCGACTTTGGGCTTTCTAGCCTCCCAAACAGTGAGAGGATAAACTTCTGTGGTTTTAAGCTACCCAGTTTATGGTATTTAAATACAGCAGCCCTGGGAAACTAATACAGAGCCCTTAACTTTTTGTGATCACATAAGTCAACGTTTTTCTCACTGTGATATTTTTGACTGCTTTAAAACTCAAAGGTTCTCCCCTATCCCAAAATGCGCTCTTCCATCTTCTTCAAGGTTTTTTTTTTTTTAAATAATTTAATTCCTCCTCCCCCAAATTTAACCTTTTATTCCTTTTGGAATTTATGTAGGCATGCAGCCTGAGGAAAGAATCTAAAACATCCTCTTCTCCTCACAAACAGCTAACCAGTGACTGACCCTCAACTAATTTATCAAATGATTTTTCCAATTCTATCGATTTGTGAGGTCACCTACATCCATTATATAATTAATTTAGATGTGTAAAATGGTACATTTCTGGGCTATTTATTCTACTGATCTGTTTATTCTTAAGCCAATAATTAAGTAACGATTTAAATCATTAAAATGTGTTTAGATATTTAGTAGGGCAAGTTTCTCCTCGCTACAATCTTTTTCCAAGTTTTAAAGTTATTCTCACTCATTTATTCTTCCCAGTAAATTTAGAAAAATATAAGTTCCAAAATATATCCTATTGCGGTTTTGGTTATACTAAATGGGAAAAGTATGAATTACACTAGGAAGAGCTGACAATCTCTACAAATTCCACAATTTCCACTAGAAACAAGTATATCTCTCATTAATTCATCTGCTTTATCTATCAGTAGAGTTTTATAATTTTCATTAGGACTCCTCTGTCTAAAATAACCCCATCCAGCCGGTGTGGTTCAGTGGTTGAGCGTCGACCCATGTACCAAGATGTCGCCTGTTTAATTCCCAGTCAGGACACATGCCCAGGTAGTGGGCGTGCATGCAAGAGGCAGCCAATCGATGTTCTCTCTCATTGATGTTTCTCTCTCTCTCTCTCTCTCTCTCTCTCTCTCTCTCTCTCTCTCCCTCTTCCTCTCTCAAATCAATAAAGAAAAAAAAATTTTTTTTTAAATAACCCCCTAAGTCACTCCCGATCCTTTTACAATACTTTGTGTTTATAATAATCATCATTTTAATAAGACTAAGAAAAGCAGCTACTATTTAGGAGGCTCACTAGGTGCCAGGTACCAGTTCTAGGCCCTTTTATATGAATCTTCTCACTAAATTCTTGCAACTTATTATTTCTACTTACAAATGAAAATACTGAGGCACAGAGAAATTAGTTCAAAGTCACAGCAGAAAAACCAGGTTTCAAAATCAGGCAACTTTACTCTGGAGACATGGTTTTATCTAAAATCAGTATTTTTACTATTCAGCTGTAAAAGGGAATGAGGAAGCCTTTTATATGCTAATATTTTAAAAATTGCCAAGATATTGGTGAAGTGAAAAAGCAAGATTCTGAACTATGATTTGTATAAA